TTTTTGCTGCTGTGACCAAACACCTGACAAGAACCATTTCAGTGGAGGAAAAGTTTATCTGGGGGCTCACGGTTTTGGAGGCCTCAGTCCACACACAGTTCCTCAGTTCCTTTTCCTCAGGGCTCAAGTGACATCATGGCAGAAGAGTGTGGTGGAAGAAAGCAGCTCAAGACATCACACCAGGAAGCAGAGAAAGAGTTCCACTCAGCAAGGACAAAATAGAGCTTTTGGGGGACACCTCGTATCTAAACCAGAACAGAGTGAGTCAGACAGTATGTGGCCTTTTGATTCTGGCTTCTTTCACTTAGAGATTCATGCAATATTTACATGTCTTCTCATAGTTTGTTCCTCTTCACTGCTGAGTGGTATTCCATTGGATGGATACACTGTTTGTTGAACCATCCAACCACTGAAGGACACTTGAATTCTTTTCAGTTTTTAGCAATTTTGAATAATCTTGCTACTGGCTTCTGGGTAACCATGTTTTCACTGCTGTTTGGTAAATATGAGGGAGTGGGATTACTGAGTCATAGGCTAAGTGTATGTACTTTATATGAAATTTGCCAAAATCTTTTCCAGATCGGCTGTACCATCTTACATTCCTACCAGCAATGCCTCCTCACCAGCGCTGCTCAGAGGATTTCTTTCAAGATGTTCTAATAGTTGTGTAGCGTGTTTCGTTGCTGTTTCAATTTGTATTACCTAATGACTAGATGTTGAGTGTTTCTTCTTAGATACAAACATCTTTTAAGAGCTGCCCATTTTGTAAATAGGTTTGTCTTATTGTTTTTGAATGTTCTCTCTGATAAGTGGATGCTGATCCATAATGGGGGGAGGTATGGGAAAAAATGGAGGAACTTTGATGGGGAAAAGGGGAGGGAGAGGAGGGGAGTGGGGATGGGGGCAGAAAAGATGGTGGAATGTGATGGACATCATTACCCTAGGTACATGTATGACTGCACATAGGGTGCGACGCTACATCGTTGTACAATCAGAGAAATGAAAAGTCGTGCTGCAATTGTGTACAATGAATCAAAATGCATTCTGCTGTCATATGTACCTAATTAAAATAAATAAATAAATTTATTTTAAAAACAGTAAAAAAAAATGAATGTTGATGATTTCAAATATATGCCGGATGTAAATATTTCATCAAGTGAGATTTACAAATATTTTCTCCCAGTCTGATTTGTATTTTTATCTTAACAGTATCTTTCTCAGAGCAAAAGTGTCAATTTTGATGAAGTTCCACTTATTGATTTTTTTCCTTTTATGGACTGAGGCATCATATCTTGGAACTCTTCCCTAATCTAAGGTCAAAAATATTCTCTCTTCAGCTTTCTTTTAAAGACTTTATAGTTTTACATTTATGTCTAGGATCTATTGAGTTAACTTTTTCATAATCTGTGAGGTATCAATCAATGCTCATTTTTACAAATGGGTGTCCAATTGTTCTAGCACTATTTAGTGAATCACCTTTGCAACTTTCTCAAAAATCAACTGATCATTTTCATATGGATCTATTTATGGACTCTACTTTGTTCTATCTATTTCCATACATCTATGTTTCTGCTTGATTATTAGCTTCATAGTAAGTTTGAAATCAAGTACTGTGGTGAGTCCTCCAACTTTCTATTTTTCCAAATTGTTTTACCTGTTGAAGTTCTTTCTCTTTTCGTATAAATTTTAGAGTCAGCTTGCCAGTAACTCCTAGAAATCCTGCTGGGATTTTGATTGCTTCATATTTACCCATTTCCTCCCCACTACCTGTAGGTTATTTCGAAGCAAAACATCTCACACACTATTTTCATTTCAATCCTATAGAGTTGGCTTCTTCCTAAATAAAAAAAAAAATCTGAACCTTCATGGAAATAAAAAAATGATTACACTATTACAGTGTGGGGTTATATCTCAGTAGTACCTAGTATACCCAAAGCCCTAGGTTTGATTCTCACAACTGAAAAATAAAACAAAAAAGAAAAAGAAAAAAGTTACTGATTGATATTCCTACAACAAAGTATCAAACTAACTGTATCCCTGACTTTCATAGCTGACTTGAAAACTGCACTATACCTACACGTACTAACACACCATTTGCAGCTCAATTTGGTGACAATTAACATTTTAGCAACATGGAGTCTTTCAATCCATAAACATGGTATATCTCTCCATGTATTTAGGTATTTTTTACTTTCTTTAAACAATTATTTGTATCTTTCAGTATACAAATCCTGCATATATTTTAGTTACATATATACCTAAGTATTTTAAATTTTTGATGCTATTACATATGGTACTTTTCAAGATTTCAATTTTTCAAATGTTCATTGCTAGTATATAGAAATATAACTGATTTTTTATATTATGATTTAATATTTTATGAACATGCTAAACTTAACAGTTCTGGATACTTTGTATATTTTAGATAATCAGGTCATCTGCAAATGCAGTTTTATCTCTTCTTTCTATCTCAATGCCTTTAATTTATTTTTCTTGCCTTATTGCACTGGCTGGGTGCCATGTTAGTTTTTATGGTTTCCTGGATCTTCCAGATATTTTCAAAACTTTCACATCATGTTTTATAGTATGTATTTGAAAGTTCTGACATCTGATGCCTTTATCATATTAGTTTTCTTGTTTATGCTATGTATTAGTTTGCTAAGGTTGCTGTACAAAGTACCACAAACTGGGTGAGTTAACAGAAACAAATTGTCTCATGGTTCTGGAGCTGAAAAGCCAAAATCAAGGTGGTACTGGCATGTTTGGTTCCTTCTGAGGGCTGTGATGGCACATCTGCACCACTTCTGTTAATTAATTTCTAGTAGTATGCTGGCGATCTTTGGTGTTCGTTAGCTTGTAGATGCATCACCCAATCTTTGCCTTCATGTGCACATTACACTCTCACCATGCACATGTCTGTGTTCAAATTTCCCCTTTTTATATGGACATTATTCATACTGAATTAGGAACCCACCCTGTTTCAGGATGACCACATCTTAACTAAATACCTAATAAGGTTACATACTGGGCACTTCAGCATGTTGATTCTAGGAGGCCGGATTCAACCCACAGCATGGTGGTTCTTGTTCATGGTGCCCTGTTGCCTATACACCTGGTCATCACTAACTATATGCTTGTCCTAGTACTGAAAGTATTATGTTCTGTTATAATTTGAAGCCTAGACAGAAGACACTTCCCTTTACTGAAGATTGCTTCTGCAAAGCACCCGGGTTTCTTCCTGGTCTAGGAGTACCATTAACCAAGTTCAAAAGCAGAGTGATACAAACTCAAGCTGCAAATCCACAAAAGGGTTGGTTTATCCATGGTTCACAGATTTTGTGCTCCTTGGGTTCCCAGCTTATTGTAAGGATGGTCTTCTATTAGAGGGTCCACCTTGTATGGGGGCTGCACTTTGTCTTCTGACCCCCTCTCTTATATCCCACCCTATGTAGGCAGGATAGTGAAATTCAAAATTTCCAAGACTTATTAATAAGTTCTGAGGGCAAAAGTGCTCAATTATCTTTCTGGGTTACCATTTTTCTTTTAATTCTGGCCTCATTATTTCTTACTTTTAAAAACAACATGAATAATGTTCTTATCTACATTAAAAATTTTTTTTTGTGTATGTGTATGTGGTGCTGGGGATTGAACCCAGAGCTTTGTGCATGTGAGGCAAGCACTCTACCAACTGGGCTATATCCCCAGCCCTATATTTTTAAATTACGGGTGGAAAGGAATGTTCTTACTACCTTAAGCTCATTATTATTATTATTTTAATATTTTTTAGTTGTAGGTGGACACAATACCTTTATTATTTATTTTTCTATGGTGCCTCATGCATGCTAAGCAAGTGCTCTACCACTGAACCACAACCCTGGCCTCAAGCTCATCACTATTTGAAAATAAAAGAATACTTAGTTTCTCTCCTTCTTTTGTAAAATTGATTCTTCATGGTGACCTCTGTAAGTATTCAATACTAGAATTTATTGATAAGTTTCAGGATAATGACATGTTACTTATGGTATTAATGATACTTATTCAAATGCTATTATTGAAAATAAGGACTAATTCAATGCCCCATAATATGAGAAAATTTAAAACTCCATTTTTTTTCCTCAGGGATAATCTTAAAAACTCACCTTATATTTGGGTTTATTTGGTATCTATTAAAATGTGACAGAGAAGAATGGTTCTAATATAGAATACGAAGTATCTATGTATCACATAACATATGAGATAGTAAGCTCTAGCTGATAGGATTTCCTATTATTAGAAGCCATTCTTCCCGAACTATATCAAAGAAAATCACTACTGGCATCTTGACTTTGAAGGACAGACAGCTGGAGGCCTTTGTTAATGAGATAAGGGGAACACAGATAGTTACCAGGGAAAGGTACGTTGTGGGGAGATCTTTGTTTCTTAATGTCAATTTTACAACTCCATCAAGACATAAATAGCAATCTGTGGATAGCAGTGAGCCAATCACCTAATTGAATAACTCTTGGAAGGTGCTCTGAGATGATGAATCATGGGCCTGGAATTTAGCTCAGGAAAGGCCATAATAAACACATCCTGGAGGAGAATAAAAATCACAAGAGAGGGATCAAAGGCTTTCTTTTGATGAGATTATTTTTGCTGGATGATGAGGCCATCCCGTGCTTTGCAAAGGCTCCTACAGATACTGTTAGATAATTTTAGGTGACAAATAATTCCCTTTGGGCCCCTTTCTTTTGCTTTTAAGTCAAACATGGGGACATATTCACTTCCAGGAAGAAGAAAATGACATGAAAAGCCCCTATGTTTGACAGAGACACAAGGGAGCACTGCTCCAAGTTTCCTCAGATAATGTGGACGTGCTTCTAGTCAGTGTGGGGACCAAAGGATGTCTGAGCACACGGGGGACTGGCCGCTCTCTCTCACACACAGCCCCGTCTTCAATCGGCTCCTCCCTTGCCCCAGCACCAAGCAAGGGCCCTTCCCAGGGGTAGCCAGGGCCTTACCTGTGCTGTCCTCCCCGAGGCCTTCTGCAGACTCCCGAAGCTTGATGTCCATGACCCTCGTGGAAATCATGTCCAGCTCACTGAAATCAGACAGAAATTTGTGTTAAAGGAACATATTGAGCAGAAGTTACCAATGAACGTAAAGGGAGTGGTGATTGCTCTTGCCCATGGCCTTGCCTGTACACACCCCTGCAAAGACAGCGCACAGGGCAGAGGGCAGTGCAGGCCCCAAACACGCTCACAGCCACGAGATAAGTCACCACATAAGCGTGTCTCTAATTGCTGACCTGAGCAGTTTAATGGGAAACATAACTGAAACAAACGCGTCACTCATTTACACAATACAGGTTAAGATCCTTTCTTTAAAAAGTGTTTTTTCTCCCATTTTCAGAAGTTATGTTTTTCTTCCTGTAAGAAGTCTGGAAAACAGAATGGAGATCACACATAATCCCACCAACCAAGGATAACCACAATTAATGTTTTAATCTCCCTCCAATGTTTATTTTCACACAAATATTTTATGTACGTGCACACACTAGGATGTTGGACTTCCTGATTTTCTTACTTATATCATCTTAAAAATTCTTGATAAGGGTTATTTTCATGGCTGCATACAGATGATGAAGTTAACAGAGGGCCAACCCCTGCTTCATCTTTACCCCAGCACCCCCTCTCATGAGATTGTTTTGAAGCAAATCACACCAGACATTATTATCATTTCATCCATATGGATTTGGCATCTTCCTAAAATATAATAATAAAAAAACCCTCTGACTCTTCATGGAAATCAAACCAACACTTACCAGACCATATTCCTGCTGCAGAGTACTGAGCTACTGGGCTTGCCTCCTATGGCTGACCTTGAGACAGTGCACTGTCCCTCCAAGTACTGTCTCGCCATTTATCTGGACACCTATTTCTAACCAGGAAAGACTGGATCATCACACTTAAAACAAGAGGTTCAGGTACTTAACCAGTTCACACCTACAACTTGAACATGTAACAAAATGTAGAATGATGAGAGGAAATACAAAGAAAATACTTAGTAGAGGAAAGGAAACAGACGCACGAGCCTGTGCACCAGAGTTGGTGCTAACATTTAGGTCTCCTTTAATGTCAATGTCAAACCATGGTGCTCTCCCTCCTAGACAATTCCTTAAAAGCTGAAAAAAGCTTCACCAGCTTCGGTTCTCAATTTTCATACGATCTGGCTTCATAAAAACGCCTGGTATTGTGTCAGTTCTGCCAGAAGCTCTCTTGGAACCTCACCATCTGACTCATGATCATGCTCTCATTATGTATAAAACGAGGGTGGAACAGAAATAGTCCTTTTTCAAATCCTTGACCACTGTTTTTAGGCTTTAAAGAAGAGCCTTGTTTTCACCATGTTCATTATCAAAATGACAGAGAGTGCAAACAGCAGCATCATTATAAGGGTCACAGTTGTGACCTGACACAAAGACCGTAGCTCCCAAGATGTCAGAGTCAGTAAGCAGCCGCCTGATGTCCAAGTGTCCTGCTGCTCGGTGATACTGTTTGTTGGAGGAGTGGGTGGCTATCGGGGCATTCAGAGCAGAAGATGATGGAGAAGGAAACCACAGGAGCAGGAAGGAGAGTGAAGACGGTGGGGGTTGGTTAAGAGTCACCAGCTACGACCCTGGGTACCATCTGCCAAGGTTGCCACTGAGCTAGAAAGCAAAAGTGCAAGAGCCTTCCGCTGCTTAAATTTGGAGTTAACCACAATGACAACTGATTTATGCAAATGACTTATTGAGCATGCAACATTACTATCTGAATCGTCTCACTAGATCCCCGAGGGCTTTGAGGGTTCACACTCTGGAGATGAGAACATACACCACGGTAGATAGTTTATTAACCTGGCCAAGGTAGTGAAGACGACAACCGGAAGGCTCATGTCGACTATGTCCCCAGCACAGGCAGGTGCACAGCAACAGATGAGACCCAGCTTCTGCAGTGCTGCCCTAGTAAGGAGAGAGTCCTGAGTGTCTCCAGAGGAGCTCAAGAGAAGCAGGGAATCCAGGGGAAGAATCTCCCACTGAAATGGCTCTTCTTGCCAAGTAGCCCTGTCCAGGGTCAGGTCAGAATAGAGGGGTTGAGGGAGGCCCTGGGAGACCATCCACTGGGTCTGACAGGGTATCTCAGTCTGAGGGAAGGGGTTTGAGTCTGTCATGATGTGTCAACTAACTGGGAAAGGGTAACTCGGGAGAAACCATGATGACACCTGCAAAATGTCCAGTCACCTCTGGCAAATAAAACAGCTGATATTGGGAAGGTAGTGGTGATGTGCAGGGGTGTGTGACAGGTGTGCATGGCCCTCCCTGGCTGAGTATGTGGAGAGTACCCCATTTCCATCCCATAAGCCTAGAGCACTACAGACTTGCTTCTCCCTGAGTTGAATGACGTGGCTGTGATAAAGTCACACAGGGCAGAGGGCTCGGGAGCAGGTAGGGGACAGGGGGAGGTCGAGGGGGCCCAGTCTGCCCTATGTGGATCCTTCCATCCTCTTCAAGCAGGCTGTGTCACCAACAGATGCCACAGTGGCCGGCAGATTCACAGAAGCAAAAGCCACCCACAAATGAAAGACAGTAAATGGGGTTCACCTCACCGGGGAAGTTTCAGTACCTGCTCATGTTTCCTGTTCCAAATGTCTTCAAATAACGTATTATGGTTTGGATGTGAGGTGTCCCCCAGAAGCTCACATGTAAGACAAAGCAAGAAGGTTCAGAGGAGAAATGATTGGGTTGTGAGGGTCTTAACCCAATTAGTGAATTAATCCCCTGATAGGGATTAACTGGGTGGCAACTGAAGTTGTGGCTGGAGGAGGTGGGCTTTGGGGTATAGATTTGTACCTGCCAATGGAGTCTCTCTCTCTCTGCTCTCTGACCACCACGTGAGCTGCTTCCCTTGGCCACACTCTTCCACCATGATGGTCAGCCTCCCCTGGAGCCCTGAGGAATGCAGCCAGCCTCGCAGGGACTGAGACCTCTGAAACTGTGAGCCCTCGAGTAAACTCTTCTTCCTTAAAATTGTTCTGGTCAGGTCTTTTATTCACAGCAGCAAAAATGCTGACTAAAACATACCATAATGATATGCAGAGGAACCGCACAAAGACCTGGATGTCAGGATGTCCCCAACATCTACCACTGCTGGGGCTCAGTCCCCTCATGTACAAGAGGGGGATAATGACATCTGAATTCAATGGGACCAAAACACAGCACAAAGTACTGCGTGACCACTGTGGCTCAGTCTTCCCAGATGTTCCTGTACAGGGACAAAGGCATCACCAGAACACAGGACTGACCAGGCTGGCAGCAGGTGAGTGTCAATAACACGGTCTGCCTGTGCATAGGGTCCACTTTGAAGTCACCACAAGTCACAGCACTGTTGACCCCGGAGCCTCCTTATCCTAGCAGCGTGATAGACCCACACCACTTCTGGGTAATTGATAAAAACATACTCAAGAGGAAGGTCTGCCCTGTGAGACTGCAGGGTGCAGAGACAGAAAAGGTCCTTTTCAACGTGGGCATGCCAGGTGGAAGTGCCCATGGCGGTGGCAAGGGAACACTGCCTCCATTGTACCCTTCTGAATGCACGTTCCCTGACCCCACGAAAAGTCATGGACAAGCGAGAAGGAAAACCAGAATCAGAAAGCAAGATGGCAAGGAGCCAAGACCTTTCAGCCCTCCTTTGGCTGTTCCGTCAAGACAGTGCCTCCCATGGGAACTCGAGGTTCAAGTCAGGCCCCCCTCTATGCCCCTCAAATAGCATCTGCCCTCCACCCTCCTGCCCCTGTTGTTCTGACAGCTCTATGCACCCCAAAAGGAAAACTTCTTTCTTTCAACTCAACCTGGATGTGAGAGGTCTCTTTGGAGGTTCTAATTAACTCCCAAGGATGCTGAGCCCCCTCCAGGCTCCTCTGAAGAGCATGTTCATGTAGCACATTCAGTGTGCAGGTGGGTACCCACAGAACCCAGAGGAGTCTTGATGTGGGGGCCACCCCATTCCCTCTCTGTCCACAGGGCCTCCCCAGCTTAGAGCAGAGCTCCTACAGAAAAGCCCTACAAAAGTGGGTTCCCATGAAGAATGAGAATAGATCTTAATATGGTGTTTTAAAGACTCCAAGCCACTATATTTACCTACACAATGCAAAGAAAAATACCTGTACGCTAGCTCCACACATCCAAGTGTGGCAATTATGGATGAAAGCTTTGCAGTTCACCCTCCAGGTGGCCCAACTCTGCAACCTCCTTCGGAGCTATGTTCAGAGCCCTGTGGATTCTTTCATAACCTTCTCTACCTTTCCTCCCAAACCTGTCATCAAGAGCCTGGGCAGGCAGCTGCAAAAGCTCCTCTCCCTCCCAAGACTGTGGGCTTCCTGGCTGACTATGCCTGTTAGCATCTCTGTCTTCCCAGTGCCTAGGACAGTCTCCAAACAAAGGGCCGGAACCCAACACAAGCAAGACAATTGGTGAACCGGGTATTGTGCCCTTGGAGATTTTTGGTTGTATTATGTAGGTATTTTGCTTTTGTGGTGCTAGGCTTGACAGCAGGGCCATAAGCATGACAGCCAAGTCCTCTGACACTGAGTCACACCCACAAACCTCCTTTGAGATTTTTGAATACCAATTCATCTAACTTCAGAGAGCGGGAGAAAGGTCTAGAAAGAGTCACCTTTAGGTCCTCTTTCCCTTATTCAGAGGAGGTGATCTACCCTGCGTAAGGTCAGCCTTAGGGAAAACTAGGTTTTAACATAAGCCCACTGAGGGCTGAGGCTATAGCTCAGTGGCAGAGCGCTTGCCTAGCACATGTGAGGCACTGGGTTTGATCCTTAGCACCACATAAAAAATAAACAAATAAAATAAAGGCATTCTGCCCATCTACAAATACAATAATATATTTTTTAAATAAAAATAACCGTAAAAGCCTACTTAAATTTGGTGTCCTCCTACCTCCCTATCCAGCCTTCCTGCCTCCCCCTCTTCCACAGGAGGCTTCTGCTTCTGTCCTGCATCATCTTCTCCCTGGTCTCCACACTCACCATCTTTTAGG